CCCCCCCCCATATTGCCTTAAGTCCCTTAAACACCTATTAGGTCTGATACTCGCTTTCTGAACCTTGAATCTTAATTGATTCTACTGGTGAAGAAAACACGAGCTATGACAATACAAATGGTTTTCTCTTGGCATATGGTTTTTGTATATAGTTTGGTTCAAATTTGCTGATGCGGGATGTGTATGACCCGATCAGAGATGGAAAATGGATGGATATAAACAAAACTGCAATCACACCACAACAAAGTCTAAATGGGGTAATCACCAAAGTCAAGTGAAGCTGAGATTCATAATCTTGGACATGTCAAACATCTTAATTGATTGTTATTGACAAGTTCATATCCAGAATCACAATGTCTTCCACCTCTGCAATCAACGCTGTCCCCCTTTTCAACGGTTCCAACTACAATAATTGGTCATCTGGAATGAAGGCTTACCTTCAAGTCCAAAAACTTTTTGGACATGCCTCCAGCACTAAGGCTCGTCCTTCTCCCACAGGCAATCCTGTTACCAATCAGGATGCCATTGATACTTGGGAAGAAAATGATGGTGCCACCATTGGTGCTATTTCTCTTCGCCTGCCTAACCACATTAGGCAAACAGCTGTTAAAGGTACTGCCAGGGAAACCTGGAACCAACTTGAGACCACCTATGGTACTCCTGGCGCTGCTGGACTCTTTGAAATCTTCCGAGAGGCCATTGGTTTTGAAATCACTGAGAACTCCGATCCGGCTATGCCGATGGCATCTCTAACTTTGATCTTTGGTTGCCTCAATGCCTCTGGTCTTACCTTGACAGAACCGGTAAAAGCCATGATACTTCTTGCTGCACTTCCTCGCACTTGGGATGGTTTAGCAATGACAATGTTGAGCCAATATACTGGCACAAATCTCACACTAACTGCCATCATCCCCAAGATTCAGGATGAATACAATTGTCACTGCTCTAATGCCACATCACTTGCTTCTCACCTTTCCACGGTGAACAAGAAGCGCAAATCTAAGAATGCCTGGTCAAAACAAAAGAAACAGAAGCAAAACACTGATGCATCTGGTTTGAACCAACAGGCTTCTTCCTCCAGTGGCAATAACAGCAACAACAATAAAGGCAATCAGAAGAAGAAAGATAAAGGCAAAGGCAAACCGCAAGCCAATGAGGCTTCCACCAACAATCCACTCCCAGTTGCTAACTTCACCTCCTTCTCATCCTCTGCTGATCCTCTTAAGGATATTGACCCTTACATGGGCAAACTCGATCCTCTCCTCAGAGACATGAAGATAGAGGAACAAGAGTTGCTGCCTGATTGGGCTCAATCTGTCGTCGATGATGGCTTTGCCAGAATCGATGATTATGACGAGGAAATGTACAGATCTGGCAATGAGCGTACTTCTTACTGGCAAGTCCCTTTTAATTTCCTTAAAAAGAAAATCTCTAATTCATTGCACTGGCTAAACAGATCTTCTACTATAAATAACAATACTTTGCATGAACATTTGTACCATGCAACTAGTTCTTATTTATTTGATTCTGTACTTAGTCCTGAGCCTCTTGATGAGGCAAAATACATTAATTTTATGCATGCAATTACTGAGAGTAAGGAACTCCCTGAAAATAATGTAAGAATACAAGCAGCGACATATGACACATCTTGGTTACTTGATTCCGGCGCTTCACACCATTTTACTCCGAATATTGAGGATTTTGCTGATTACAAGGAATGGAGAAATCCGATTCCACTTGTATCTGCTGATAAGAAATCCCGTTCACATGTACTTGGCACTGGAACGGTATATATTTGTCATGAAAATGGAACAGGTGTTACCCTCACAACTAAGTTACACCCGGTGTATTACCAGCCCGATAGCCCACATTGCCTTATTTCAATTGGTCAATTAAATCAAAATGGCTGCTATACAGTCATTAATGGAGATCAAAGTCAGATACACAATAAGTCAAATCGTAAAATCATTATGACTGGAAAACCATATAATACCGGTGATTCGCTCCACTGGCTTCACACTGACGTGTTGAATCCTGAAGTGCAAATAGTCAATATGGTTTCTATCGATTACGACTTATGGCATAACAGATTTGCCCATCCAGGCAATGAGATCCTTAAACATGCTCCTGCTAATGTCAAAGGTCTTCCTAAAGTACCTATTCTGACTGAGAAACACATCTGTAAAGGTTGTGTCATTGGTAAAGAACCTCAGAAATCATACCCCTCTTCATCTAAGCGAGCCGAACATCCTCTAGAACTTGTGCACTTTGATTTGACCAAATTACCGATTCAGTCATATCCTAAATATAAATATATTGTCACATTCTTGGATGATTGTTCTTCTTACACTTACTCGGTTAAACTACATCTTAAGTCCGAAGCTTTCCTCACTTTTAATCAATTTAAAGCATGGGCCAAAAAGCAAACTGGACATAAAATTAAAAAGATACATATTGATTGAGGGGGAGAATTCTT